TGTCAAGCCAGGTGAGTACATCCATGATATCCACGGTGCAAGACAGCTCGTCCTGAAACTGCAGGTTGTCCCCGGCCAGCTCAGGAAAGGCCTCGGCAAAGGCATCTGGCCCCAGCTCAGGCAGGTCCAGGGGCTTCTCTGGGGCCTCCCGGATGGTCACCCCTTCGGAAAAAGCAATGAAACCCAGCCCAGCCCCGGGGCCACGCGAGCTTTCCTGGGCGCAGGACACCTGCCCACAGGCTCTGCCACCCCCAGAGCTCACCTTTGGGCTTTGTCTTGTTCTGCCCCATGCAGGGGGTAGCTGGGGTGAGCCAGTGGGGGCTTCTGTGGAGGACGCTGTCCTTGATGACCACCACGTCACTGTCGGAGGCCTCCAAGGGCTTCTTGGTGCTGCTGGGCAGGGTGTGGGGCACAGGGAGGCCCTGCACCCAGTGCTGAACCCTGGGGTGCAGGGGATCCCCCTGGAGCACAGCCCCTGGCCCCAGCCCCATTGGCTGGTGGGGCACCAGCGTCCCCAGCACCAGCCGCTGTCCCCAGCTGTAGGCAGGGGGACAGGGAGCAGCCACGGGGGAGAACTGCACCCCAGGGGGGAGCTGCACCACAGGGGGAAGTGGCACCCCAGGGGGGACTTGCACCCCAGGGGGGAGCTGCACCCCGGGGGAGAGCGGCACCCCAGGGGGGAGCTGCACCACGGAGGGGAGCTGTACCCCAGGGGGGAGCTGTACAATGGTGGGGAGCTGCACCCCGGGGGGAAGTGGGACCCCGGGGGGGAGCTGCCCCGGGGCCCCCATGGGCCCTGGCACCCCCTGCCAGACGCTGGCCTGTGGCAGCTGGGAGGTGACGGGGTGGAGCTGGGCGGGCTGGGAGGACACCGGCAGCCCTGGGACGGAGAGCAGCGTGCCGGCAGGGACCGGTGGCGGCATGGCCGGAACACTGAAGCTCTGCAACCCTGTCTGCCGGGGGGGTTGGAACGTGCCCCATTATGGCATCACCTCCTAACGACATCACACACGCAGGGGCCGGGACCGGGACCAGCTGTGAGCCCCTCCACGGGCAATGGGGTCCTGGTCCCCCCGGCCCCCTCGCTCCATGGCCGCCCTCAGCCTCTGCTCAGCCACAGCCCAGGTGACACCCACCCTGTGCCTGCACCCTGCTGGGGGCTGCTCTGGGCAAAACCAGCCCTGGGATGCCCCTGCAGCTGATGAAGATTATTTAGCCTGGATAGGGAGCTCCCCAGGGGGAGGCCCCAGCTGCCCTTGTAGCAGCCCACGCAGGAGGAAGCTGAGGCCCAGGCTCGCTCATGCCAGTGAGGAGGCCACAAGTCCTCTGTCACTGCCGTGCCTGCGGCCAGTTTGGAGGGGGGGAAGGGGCTGCCTGGGGCCGAGGAGAGGGGAGCCCCAGGGGGGACGGGGGGCCCTAAACATCTCATCTCCGCTTCAGTTGCTCTCCTCCTTCCCAAGCGGTTTGGGCAGAGCTGAGATGAAGGTGGCCGTTTCCCTCGGCGCTCCGTCCCCCAGCCCTCCATCCCCAGGGCCGTTCCCAGAGCGAGGGGCAGACTGAGGGAAGGGAAAGCTTGATGGCTTTGTAGGGCACGGCCTGACTGACTCTGCCCAGGACATTTCATCCGACACAGCCCCTGCTCTGGGCAGCTCCTGCCGGGAGGACGCAGGATGCCACCGTGGGCCTGAAACCCCGTTTTCTTCCCCCATCCTTCTCCTGAGCCAACAGCAATCAGTAGCGTTCCTCCTGCCCCAGAGCCCAGGGAGATGGATTTCCCCCAAAGCAGCGCTACCCACTCCCCCATCACCTCCAGAAAGCCCCTTAAAAAGCTCCAAAGATGCCTCCGACCCCTCTCCCCCCCTCAAAGGACACCAGAGCGGCACAGCAAGACAAACGAGATTTTTACTGTTTTATTTTCCCCCCTGCCCCACTCCTTGGCCCCCCGAGGGGCTCCGAGCCTTTCCCCAGCCCCACTCCCCAGCACCCCCGGGGCCCACCCCCCGCTCCCGGGCCCCCCGGGGGGCCGCAGCCCCCCAGCCCCTCTCCCCAGATGCTCGCAGCCCCCCCAAGGCACGGAGCCCCCCCCAGCCCCACTCCCGGGCTCTGCAGACCCCCCCCTCCCCCTCCCCCTGCTCCGCTGCCTCCGCCAGGGAGCTGGCTGTGCCCGGCGCTCCAGCCCCGCCCCCTCCGCAGCCAATCAGCTCGCAGCTCCACCGTATGCCCGCGCGGGGCATGCTGGGAGTTGTAGTTCCGGCCTCGGGGTGTGCGCATGCGCACGGCACCCGGTGCGACGGGGGCGGGCGTGCAAGGAGCTGCGTGCGACGGGGGTGTTTGTGCAGGGTCCGCGTGCAATGGGATTGTTTGTGCAGGGTCCTCGTGCAAGGCGGGGGTGTCACCTCCCTTTCCCGTGTTATTTTACGCCCCGTGTCGCCGCTCAGGGCACGCCGGGCAGTTCACCTCTGTGCTGAGCGGCGCTGGGGGGGAAGTTCATTAGAGCACATGGATTTGTAGGATGGAAATGACGGATCAGCTCAGCTCAGAAAATGCAGGAGAGCTGGAGGGGGCCATGATATTCCTGAAAATCGTAACCAAGGAAACTCCCCAAGCCAAATGAGAGTTTATAAAGCCAATGCTTTTCTTACAGTGCTGGGTGCATGGGGGATCTTTCCTCCTAAAGTGCACACCCAGTCACAAAAGCACACTAGTCATACACATAAAATAATAAATATACATAAAATTTATAAGAAGCGTCTGCCTATTTCCAGGAAAACTAACGCCTGTGAAAGTGTCTCTGCACAAGCATACTGAATTGGGGGAGGGTCTCGGGCGGTTGTTTTGAAGTACAGACCTCAACTCACTTCACCCACTGATGGTCACAGCTCACGGTTGGGGCTGCTGCTCGGCACGCAGACCTGCTGATCTTGTCTACAGAGTGCACACAAAGGAGCCTGCTCCTTGTATCCTTTGTGTACCAACGGAATTGTTCAAGTCTCTGGTATCTACAGGTCTAACTAGAACACTTATTTTATGGCTTTTCCATTTTCTGAAAAATAGCAAGAATGCCCCCTTTTGACAATTCCATCTATTTCCCCTGTGAGGCCAGGAGAGGGAGTAGCAGGTTGTATTTTTTGCCCAGAAAAATCAACACTCTGAATGGCAAGTATTATATTCAGGTTCCCCAGCAGGCAGCAGAGATTGCATCCTCTGTTCATTATTCATTTCAAAAAAACATGGAGATTTTGTTTTGCTTTGTTTTGTTTTCCAGGAAAAATTGCACTTAGGAGCATCTCTCACAAGAAAGTTTCAGACAAGAACTACACACTTTGTAAAAAAAATAGAAATCCTACACATTGATGAATGAAAAGCTATGCAGGTGTGTGATCAGGTTAATCCGTGTAAGCTCTGTGCTCACTGACCCTGCTGAAGGTACAACATAAATCCAGCTCACCTGCAATCAAGTAACTGTGCAGATTCTGGCCAAAACATGATATTATGGTCAAATAAAAATAGACCCTGCTGCTCTTCTGCCTCTGTTTAGACAAAAACTAGTGAAAAAAGGACAAATAGGTATTTTTCTAGATTGCCACTCAAATGTTGAGGCTTTTGTGCTGCTGCTGATGGACAGCAAAGACTGTTTGCATGCTTCAGGTTCATCTGCAGGGAAACCTGAAACATGCCTTGAAATTTGTCAAGAATTCTGAGAAATTCACAACCTGATCTTAAGCCATTTAAATTCCTGTGTTAGGAAGCTGGTTTCTGTGAGGTCTCTAGACACTGATGAATGACACGGTGAAACAAAAAGGCCTAAACAATCGGCCTCAAAGCACAGTTGACTTCTGAGTGAATTCCCCGACCAGTGACCAGCATCTTAACAGCATGAAGTGCAACCCTGGGAACAACCCCTGAAAAGTATAAGTACACAACAGGAAGTAACTATAAATCCCAAATATAAAGAAAAACAGAAACTCCTCAGACATGCCCGGATCCTGGCCAGATCCGGACACGCCTGAGTGAGGCACATCAATCTACCAGATATCTCCTGTGCGTTTTGTTTAGACTTGTTTGTTAAACTGTACAAAAGCCGGGCCCTCTCCCAGCACAGACGCAGACCTCACCTACGAGCGGACGCCCTGCGTGGGACTTCCCAGCTGCCGGGAAAGGCTTTGCGACCCTTCGCTGTGACGGGGCTCCCCAGCTGATGCACGGGTCGGGGGGATGGTAAAGTAGGAGGGCAATTGGTGATGGATCTTTCTTAATCACTATAGCCAGCTTTATGTAACAATGACTAGGTGCATTACCTTGCTTGTTCCTTCTGCTGCTTTAAACTAAAGTAAAATAAACCCATTTCTTTAGCTTGGTGTCTGTGTCCTTTGTGTTAACCCCGTCAATTGGCAAAACAGCAATTACTTCAGAAATTCCAGTATGTTCTGCAGCAGAAATTGGATACTGCGAGACAGTTAGTGATTTTTGATTCGGGAAGTACTGGGGCTGCACGGAGTACACACACTGTGGCAGTCTGTTGATTTTTATTAGGGTTAGGGTTGGCATTTGAGCCAAAAGACTACAAACTACCATCTGGCAAACACCAAGTCTGGTTGCTCAACACATCGAAACCCAGGATATTTTCATGATGCTCTTTGATTGCAAAGCAAAAAGACGTTAGATGCTTTTCATCAGGGAGCCATAAATTAACTCTTGCTGCTTGGCACACAGTGCAAGCTCCTGCAACTCCAGTAATTTGAACTTTTTGCCATCCAGGTTGTATGCCTAGCTTATCGGCATCCCAGTTGTGTAATTACTGAAATTTGTGCTCCAGTATCAATTAATTCAATCAATTATGTTAATTGTTGCCAAGGACCTACAGGAATTAAAATGTAAGGGCCATTCTCATTTAGCCATTGCCCAATTGCTGTCCGGGCACTATTAGTTTTTTGGTCTTGTGTTTTGGGACTGATCCCCATGAGGGAGGAAAGGGTTATTTCTCTCTCTGGGAGCTGGCAATGGAGGAGTTGGAGTATTCGGAGTGTTACATTTTTGAAATGCTTGAATTAGACTCAGAAGAACCACCGGTAGGTTATCTCTGAATCATGGCTCTAGGAATTCCTAGTGCCAGTGCTTGTTTCCACAGTTCGTTTCTCCACTCCTGGCCCTTAAAATTGTCAGTCAGAGGATTTTTGTTCTTGGGAAAAATGGGTGTTCCAGTGTGTGGGGGAAACACTGAAACGTTTGGAGCTCCCGAATACAGGGCTCATTCTCAGGTACCTCAAGTGTACTAAAAGGCAAAGGGTTTCCAGGTGGCATAAATACAGCTTACTCCTTTTTAAGTTTTCTTTCTGCTGTAAGAAAAGAAGAAAATGGGAGTTGCACACATAAGCCCACAGTCTGTGGGAGCTCACAATTCTTACTGTATATCTAGCAGTCACATTTATATCCTTATTGTACTTTCATCCACCTGATTCCTCTTAAATAATGGGTATTTGATCTTTTTCTATTAACAAATTTCATTTTAGTCCGAAAGATCTTCCTTCTTTTGCTTGCTGCTTGCAGCAATGTAATAAAAGGGAGGTGTTCATAGGGAAGATGGCTGTGAAGATTTCAGATGTACTGTGTTTCTGTTTTCTGAGATGACTGAAAATTGGTTCAGTAGGAATTTGTTGCCAGAGATGTTTTCCACCTTTAAAGCACTCTGTTTTCCCTGAGCAGCTCTCATTTAAGTGAGGCATAACTAGATATGGCAACCCCTTTTGGGGATGGCTCAGTTCACTCTTCACAGAGAAGTCTCCAGGTGTACTTCACTATTGTGTACAGGAATATTTAATTATTTCAGCTATTTAGGGAATAATAGTAATTTCTGCAAGGTTGCTTTTAATTATGCTCCCATCCGTCAAACTTTGGGAATATTTTACCCCAGTGTGAGACCAGGCACAAGTGTGAGCTCAAGAAGTCATACTTTAATGCTCAGCGTTGCATGATTTGCTGTATTACCTGTGCAAACGACCAGCACTTACAGAGATTAACAAGTTACACAGCTAAAACCATACACAACTTGAGAAATTAAAGAATTCTGGTCACATCAACATGGCCTGTGAAAATAGTGTGTCGTTTTAAGATGGCTGAAAATTGGGAAGAAAAAAATGTTCAGTTACAACTCTTGGGGGGAAGTGAAGGGAGTAACCTGTGCTCTTCATGTGCCTGTAAATTTGACTGAGTAGTCCACATATTTGCAAGTATCCTTTTAGTTTAACTGCTAGGTCCTTCCCTTGATGGATGACCAGCAGGTTCTGAGTGTTTCTGGGGACTGTTACATAATGTATATGGATCATATCACTGAATATGCTCTGCAGTCTGGATAAATACAGTTTGTTGCAAGTAGTCCTAGAAAGCAAGTGGGTACTGTTAAGCAGGACTTTTTGCTCGTGAATCACCTTCCTAATGCCTGAGTTAGGTTTTGGTGATGGGTAGACTGGATCTGCGTCGCTTGAGTGTGATGCTGCCAAAATGAATGATTCTTGCATAAACTTTAGGCTCCAGAGGCTAATGTGGGGGTTTTAGTGGGTGTGAAATCTTTCTCCACTGTACCGTACTGTATGAAGTGGACTCTGCTGTGACTCTCTATGATCTCTAACCTGACTTTGTCTGTATGTGGTCCTCCTGGCTATGCCGTGTATTTCCAGGTCACCTGCCTGAGCAGCATAGTAAGAGAAGAGCTCTGCTTTGAAGCTCAGGGTTGAGAGCTTCTACCATCACAACTACAGTGATCTTGCTGCTGTGAGAATTGTCCTCCATGTGGCCTCCACGTGAGTGCAACTGTAATCTGTGCATTGTCTGGTTTTGCTCTAGGATTTCCTTCAATGCCCACAATTTCATGAGGAAAAAAAACAGGAAGTAAAAATAATTTGTTTGAGGCATAAATAATGAGATTAGGCCTTTAGATGTTTATGTGGTATGTGTTCTCCACCCCTAGTTAGTGGGAAGAACCTACTTGCCAAATACCTGCTTCATAAGTACTGCTGTGCAAATCCTGTTATCATGGAATAGTATGAGGTAGAATGTAACTTCTGAGTGAAGGCCTGTCCTAAAGGCTGGGTCTAAAGTGATAATATGCACACAGATCTGGAATGTGCAGCTTCAGTGACTTCGGTGCTTATTTTTACTCATATACAAGTCTTCTGTTTTTTTTCACTAAGCAAGAGACTAATGTGTAAGCTGTCCTACCTCTTTCCTGGGACTGTACCTTTATAGATTGATTATTTTTTAAAACTACATGTGAATTCATTCCATTTCTCCTTTTATGTACCCCATCAATGGAGCACATAGGAAGATGAAAGTATTAATTACCTTCAACAACTGCGATGGAGAATAAATAGGTTTCCATATTGCTGGTTTCATGCTGTAGTGCAAAGAACAGCAATCGAGCGTGCCTGTGGCAGGTGCACCCGCCCGATGACAATGTGGCTCCCTGGCTGTTGAACCTCTCCCGTGCCCTTGCTCTCAGGGCTTTACAGCAGTCGGGGCCCTCGGCCAGTACGGGCTGGTACTGCCCACAGGTCACATTCGGCTCGGGTAGAAATGGGGTCCCTGGGGGAGCCATTTGGGGCTCGTCCTGCCTGGAGCAGCGTGCTGCAGGTAAGGATCCTCCCCTTGGGTTGGGACACCGCCCAAGGAAACTCCTTGGGGTTCCTACAGGTTGGGACACTGCCCTAAGAAGTTCCTCGAGGTTAAGAGTCCCTTTTTTTATTAGGTGAGTGATTGAGCATTTTAGGTTGTCATTAAAACCCTGGAGAGCATTTTGGGTTGCTGTTAAACCCTGGAGAGCGTTTTGGGTTGTCGTTAAACCCTAGGAGTTTGTACAGTGATAGTTTGTTCTCCTCTCATGGACATCTGAACCTGCTCTTTGTATGTCTGCAGAGTGATGAATAATTGTGCTGGAAAATAAATTTTATTTTTATTGTTATTTGTTTATTTGAGAGTTTCCACAACAGTGCCCCTGATGTGAAGTGCAGAACTTGAAAAAGATTAGAAAAAAAACCCTCAGCGCTGTTCAGCCTTTACCTCCAGCCATGCAGCTTTCCAAAAACTATACAGTAGATTTTCAGTCTCGTGACTTTTTTTTTGGCTGGCAGCAGATGAAAGCCCTCAGTTTCCTGGGAGAGGACAGAGCATAGAAAATGTTGGTTGCATAGTTACTAGTGGAATCCCTCTAATGCTGTCTAGACAATCTTGAGAATTTCTAAAATAACGATAAGGAGAATCTAATTTCAGTGAAGAAGAGTTCATTCTCGAGAAAGGGATTTCCTGAAACCAGTCTCCTTGTAACTACAGAAACACCTGAATTTTCTAACCTTTGATGGAAAGGGAGAACAGACTTTCTCAGTTCTTGGCAAATCCCAGAGCTGATAGCGAATGCTTAATGCATTGGATGTAGTAGGAGAGAGGATCTTTGTAACTTGCTTCCAGTAAAGCATTTTCTGAATCAGAGTGATATCCTCACTAAGCTGCTTAATAATGAAAATGATGGTCAGAGGAGTGTAGCAGTGAATGTCCTTGGAGGTGAGAGAAAAAGGCTGAAGCAGTGGAAATTCATTTTCTCAATCTTTCTTTAAGTCATTATTATCTCTGATCACAGCCCTCTTTTAGGAAATTGGAAACAAAGTCCAGTGTACTTCTTTTGCACTTACAAAAGAAGAAAACAAAACTCTTGGTAACACTAAACAGGAGTGGAAACAATACAGACTGACTGCTATGTAGGTCACTAAAAATCTGGATAACACAAGGAAGATGAAAGGCTACTTTAAAGCTATAGCTTTACTCTAAAAGGTAAGCGTTGGGTGGTAGTCACTAAGAAAGGGAGCACCCTACCTAAATTTGAACAGGATTTGATATGCAGTGAAGTTCAGACCAAAGTGGTACCCACTGAACCTTCAAATTCTGATAGAAAACTTGTTGCTCTCCTTCAGCTGTTGTCAACTGGGAAGGAAAAGCAAAAGATGGAGCAATAGGAAAGATTTCCTTGAAGGTGCTTTTTGGTTTTGATGTAAGGTGATCCTTGTTTATTTTGGAATACTCCCTCCTGTAGGGTAACATGTAGTGGGCTTCAGAATGTTTATGGAGGAATTTAGGGAGTGAAACACATTTTAAAAATATCAATATGAGCTAAGTCACATCACACTAAATAATGAGTGATGAAGCACCACAAGTGTTCGGTGTGACTGCTCACAAATAGTATATTCAATGACGTTCTTCACAAAACACTTAGTTTCCTGTTCTTCCTGTTGCTGGTTTTCTAGATCTTGTCACTGAAAAATGATGGACTAGATCCTCAGCTGGTGAAAATCCGCATATGCAATCACACTTGCATAGTTTAACTACAGCCGCCTCAAGTACCTCTGTAGCAGTGTGAGGACTGGTTTTTAAATGGGTAAGGCCTCTGCCAGTACCGAATGCCACTACTGCAATGCATGAAAATTTAGTTTGCAAGCAATGTTGCTTGAGAAGGGTGATTACACCCTCCACTGCTTCATGGAAAAGGAGAGAATATAATGTCGATGGAGTCTCTTAAAATTTCTCAAGGAGCTCCATGGGTAGTTAGACACACAACAACTCTTTATTTAAGACGATTTAGCTTTAATGGGAGGTATGTGGCTAAATACCCGTGCAGCTCTTTCAAAGTATGGTAGCTGAGTAACCGTAACTGAGTGCTGTTAGAGGAAATTTATCTGATGGTCCAAAACCCGAAATCAGAGATCAGCCCAATTCTTTTTCACTCTCTGGTGCAGTAATCTTTCTTTCATGAGAGAGAGTTCTTTTTTTTCAGGAAAATACAGCAGGATTTTATGATCTTCTTTGACAGCTGTAGGTTAACTTTGTGTATGTGTGGCTTCAGTTTTTTTAAACTTCCTTATTTGGTCAGGGAAAAATTTTTCTCCTAGATTTGACCAGAGATTTCTCCCCAGACTGTAATTTCAGTTGTCATTCCGTGCTGCTTGCTTAACATTTGTGTCTTTTCAGCTGAATAAGATACTTTGCAATTGTCATAAGCACTATTGTCTGTTAATTAAGCACCAGTGCAATTAAATACCATCAGCACCTTTGCCTCTCAGAGGAGGAGGTGGCTATGATTTCAGATGCTACTTGGTTAATAGTCAGGGTGACTTCTTCCCGAGTACCAAGAAGAGCAGACCCATCTCCATTTCCCGGGATCAGCAGGGGTGCAGGGACTTGCCTCTTGGCCGAGCGAGAGAAACAGAACCCGGGAGTGTGGACTGGGATCCAAACCCCGCACCCGTTAGCCAGCGCTGATTCTCAGGGTGAGGGTGAGGGACTGGGACTGGCGCTGCTCTCGGCAGTGACTGGCCCCACAGACACCGCTCTCAGCTTGTCAGTCCCGCCGGCAGTCCCTGAGCTCAGCAGAGACAGATCCTCTGGTGCCAGCCTGGGCAGCTCTTCTGCTTCCAGCATCTCAAGGGGGGCTGCAATGAAGAGGGAGACTCCCTTGTTACAAGGAGTCCCAGGGGAAAGCCAAGGGCAAGTGGGCACGAGTTACTGCTGGGGACATTCCAGTTGGACACAAGAGGAACATGTTTCACCACGAGAACAATCAGCCACTGGAATAATCTCCCCAGGGCAGTGGTGGATCCCCCAACAGCGGACACTTTTAAGATTCAGCTGGACAGGGTGCTGGGCCACCTTGTCTAGGCCGGCCTTTGCCAAGGAAGGTTGGACCAGCTGATCCTCGAGGTCCCTTCCACCCTGGGATTCTGTGATTCTGGTTGCGCTGTCTGAGATGTGGGCGAGCAGAACCATGAACTGTATCTGACCAGTGCCTTCCTACCATGTTATTGCTCTCCCTCTTGGAAATACCTTACTTGATACATTCTATGATTTCATTTGTGGGCTTTTTTCCCTTTTGGTTTTCAGGCTGAGATAATCACCCCCTGGAAGAGATGGAAAATACACAAGTAAGGTTTTAGTCTTTGGGGTGTTTTTAGTTCCTCCTCTGAGTCACCTTCTCAAAGACTGTGTCATTCATCAGTGTCTACAGACCCCACAGAAACCAGCTTCCTAACACAGGAATTTAATTGGCTTAAGATCAGGTGGTGAATTTCTCAGAATTCTTGACAAATTTCAAGGCATGTTTCAGGTTTCCCTGCAGGTGAACCTGAAGCATGCAAACAGTCTTTGCTGTCCATCAGCAGCAATACAAAAGCCTCAAAATTTGGGTGGCAATCTAGAGGAACACCTATTTGGCTTTTTGCCACTACTTTTTGTCTAAACAGAGGCAGAAGAGGACCAGGGTCTATTTTTATTTGACTGTAATACCATGTTTTGGCCAGCATCTGCACAGTTAATGACTGCAGGTGAGCAGGGTTTGTGTTGTACCTTCAGCAGGGTCAGTGAGCACAGAGCTTACACGGATTAACCTGATTAGACACCTGCACATCTTTTCATTCAGCAATAGGTAAGATTTCTATTTTTTTACAGTGTATAGTTCTTGTCTGAAACTTTCTTGTGGCAGATGCTCTTAAGTGCAGTTTTTCCTGGCCAAAAAAAAGAGAAAAAATCTCTCCATGGCCTTTTAAAAAGAATAGCGAACTGAGGATGCCATCTTTGCCTGCTGGGCAACCTGAATGTAACACTTGCCATCCAGAGTGTTGATTTTTCAGGGGAAAAAACACAACCTGCTACTCCCTCTCCTGGCCTCATCAGGGGAAATAGGGGGCATTCTCGCTATTTTTTCAGAAAATGAAAAAGTCATAAAGTAAGGGTTCTAGTTAGACCTGTTGATACCAGAGACTTGAACAATTCCGTTGGTACACAAAGGATACAAGGAGCAGGCTCCTTTGTGTGCACTCTGTAGACAAGATCAGCAGGTCTGCGTGCCGAGCAGCAGCCCCAACCGTGAGCTGTGACCATCAGTGGGTGAAGTGAGTTAAGGTCTGTACTTCAAAACAACCGCCCGAGACCCTCCCCCAATTCAGTATGCTTGTGCAGAGACACATTCACAGGCGTTAGATTTTAGAATTTATATTAGAAATTAGAGGAATGAAATTATATAAATGCTAGAAATTATATGATTGTTTATTTAGAATTTTTATGAATGTTTATTTTTTTTTCTGTATATGGTGAGTGTGCTTTTGTCCCTGGGTGTGCATGTTAGGGGGACAGATCCCCCACGCACCCAGCACTGTAAGAAAAGCGTTGGATTTTTAAACTCTCATTTGGCTTGGGGAGTTTCCTTGGTTACGATTTTCAGGAATATCCCCGCTCCCTCCAGCTCTCCTTGATTTTCTGAGCTGAGCTGATCCGTCATTTCCATCCTACAAATCCATGTGCTCTAATGAACTTCCCGCCCAGCGCCGCTCAGCACAGAGGTGAACTGCCCGGCGTGCCCCGAGCGGCGACACGGGGCGTAAAATAACACGGGGAAGGGAGGTGACACCGAGGCCTCATTAGTTAAAATCCCACCGTGAGCCAAGCTTGCTCCTTTTTTATTATTTAGAATTAAAGCATCAGGAGCAAACAGAGGAGGACAGAGGACATGTGGGCACCTCCAGCTCTGCGACACGATGCACGAGGAACCTGCACGCGGCTCCTTGCACGCCTGTCCCCCTCGCACCGGGCACCGTGCGCATGCGCGCACCCCGGGGCTGGGACTACAACTCCCGGCATGCCCCGCGCGGGAGGCCGGGGGAGCCGTGCGCTGATTGGCTGTGGAGGGGGCAGGGCCGAGGGGCGTGGCGGGGCCCGCCCCTGGCGGCGGAGCAGCGGGAGTGGGAAGGGGCTGGCAGGGACTCCGTGCCTTGGGGGGGCTGTGAGCGTCTGGGGAGGTGGCTGTGGGGGCTGTGGCCCTGGAGCGGGGGGCGGGCCCCGGGGGTGCCGGGAAGTGGGGCTGGGGAAAGGCTCGGAGCCCATCGGGGGGCCGAGGAGTGGGGCGGGGGGAGCTGGGGGGACTGGCGAGTGGGGCTGGAGAATGGAGGGGGGTGGCTGGGAGCCGCCGGTAAGGGCTGGGGGAGCCCCGAGCCCGGGGGGGCTGCGAGCCGGGGGGGTCCCGGCCCCTTTCCCTGCCCGCCCCAGGCCCCAGCCCGGGGTCCCGGCCGAAGCCCCTCGAGGAGCTGATTTGGCCGCCCTGAGGGACGGCTGGGGGGGCAGCCCCGAGCTGCTCGGCTGGGGCCTCGTTCTTGGGGCAAGAGGCAGCGGGGGCCTGCGCAGCGCTGGGAGTTGGCGCTGAAAATCCCAGCTCGGGGGGGTCGGGGCTGCTTCCCCGCGCCCGGGGCGGCTCCTGCTCCGCCAATTCCAGCCAGGAGCCCCACAGCTTCATCCGGGCTGCTTGGGGTTGTGCTCTTCAAATTCCAGTCTCATATATCAGGCTAGTGGGGGTTTTGCTTGACGAGTTTTTGGTTGCTGTGATGACAGCAGCGGGCTTGCAGAGACGAACCTCAGCAATTCAGTAGTCCCAAACCTTCCCCTTTGTGCCTTTAATTAAGGAATAATATTAAAACCGATTAAAACTGAATGGTGCTTGGGTCGTGCAGTTTTAATTTGCACGGGTGAACAGATTTTGGTTTTCATGGATTAGTTGCTGTCCATGGAGGCAAGTGAGGAGAAACCAAGCAGCAGTGATGTCTTTTCTTCAGATTTAAGACATGCATAAATACACTGAACTAAAAGAACTAAAAGAAGCCAATGTTAAATTGTCTTGTTTAATGTTAGCGGAAAGCTGATGGGAATATCCTTAAATCAGAACTGATACGAAACAGAAATGTGTCCTAAACGTCTGCTGTGTGTAGTATCACCCTTAGTGGATTTCAAACCCTTTCATTTCCTGGTGATCAGCTCTAACTGTCTAGAGCAACGCAGACAAGTTGTGTTAAGAGGGTAGCTACCTGATTCTTTTCTTATATCCACAAATGTGTTTTAAAAAAGTCGTTGGATTTCAAAGTTAGGTCAAGTTACCTAAAAATCATAAGCAGGACTTACAGGACTTTTTTTTTTTTTTTTTTTTTTTTTTTTTTTCTCTCATTTATATTAATGCTGGGTAAAAGCAGAAGTTGATTTGGAAACCTGTAAGCTGAAGGGTGTTTTCCAGTGAGGGTTTTTTTTTTTTTTTTTTTTTTTTTTTTTTTTTTTTTTTTTTTCCCTTTTGTGAAGTCTTCAGTATTTTATTTTCTCCCTCAGTATTTCTAGGCTGCAGAAGCAGCCTCACAGGCACTATGGAATTCTCCCATTAGCTGGGCTCCTCCTAAGGATGTGGATTGCATCCATACTCAGAAGCCAGTTGCAGCAACGAAGCATGTTTTGGGTATTTGAAGAGGAGGAGGAACTGACTCACCAGTATGACAGACTAAAATTTGTTAACCTCTTGGGATTTTCAGGGCAAACTTAGCATGAGTTTCCTTTACAAGCTGGTGGTTCTTGGTAAACTGAATAACTTGTTCCAAGAATGGATTTCAGAATTTGGTGAGAGCAAGGTAAGGATTTTTTATATGCTTATTACCAAAACAGCTGAAGTCCTTTTTATTTCTCTTAAAGGCCATACTACTAGGATTTATGCTGAAGTTCAACTTTTAACTTTCTCCTTAAGGTATTGAGTAGAGCTGTAGCAACTGCCATTGAAATAAGGTATAAAAGATACTACAGTTCACAATCTTGAAGTCTTTGAGGCACTGAATAAATGTGTGAAGTGGCTCTGTGGGTTGACTTGTAGCAGCTAACAAAGCTGAAACAATCGTATTGTGGGGTGAGCTAGGTGGGAAATGGGCACTAATCTCGCCCCAAACAGCCTGCAGCACCCAGTGTGGTTTGAAACTATGACACTAGACTTGCCTTTTGCAGAGATGGTGTTCCTTTATGTGCATCTGCTGTGGGGAAGACTAATAATAGTCCTTAATTTGTGTAAATTCATGAAAGGACATGCTACATTACTCATCTATTTGTTTGGTTGTTTTTGTTTTTTTTTTTTTTTTTTGAGTTGCAAGCACTCATTTCAGAAAAACAGCAGCAATCCTGTTAGACTAACAACTCAGTATGGGCGTGAGAAGACACTGTTTATGGAGGCTGTTGTAGTCTTTCTAAGAAACCTGCATGCTACCTAAACTTGCACACTAGGTCAATGTGTATCTTCTGTTCTAAAGTAAACGCTTTCTCTTCTACCCCCAGAATCTTCCCCCTTCAGCAGCAGCAAATGTTGGTGTCAAAATATTTACCTTTGGTTCTTACAGGCTTGGAGTACACACTCAAGGTAGAACTTTCATTGTCTGCTCATAGTTCTGATGTTTGAAAGTGACTTCTAACAATAACAGAAGAAATGGAATCTCTCTGCAGGTGCTGACATAAATGCTGTTTGTGTTGCTCCTAGACATGTAGAAAGATCGGATTTTTTTCAGTTGTTCTTTGAAAAACTGAAATATCAGGAGGAAATAAAAAACCTAACAGTGAGTAAGCGCTCTCCTTGATAATCGTGCAACTTCTACAGTAAGAATGTTCATGTGAAAGACTCATAATGGTAGTAGGATGTCTTACAAGACAAAATTTAAAAATAAATTGTTTCTGAGCGCCTTCTAAAATGCTATCTTATGCAGCATGCAAATGCTGAAGTCGAGCTTTTGGTTCCTTTCCCCAGTGGCTGTACATCACGTAAGAATCTTTGTGGTCCGCTTCTCCCCTGCCCTTGGTTTGAGAATGAGTCGGCTGTATCAAAAAGCAAGGCTGTCCCTGGGAGCCCTGCTTTCATCTCCGGTGCAGTAAGGGGCCTGGACATGCACGCCGGGGGAGGAGGGGGCAGCCTGAAAACTCAGGAAGTTGGCGGTGATGTGGAAAGGCTCCTGTCAGTCCCTTGGCCGTGCTGTTCCTCTGGATAGACTTTAGGAGCTCTCGTTCATCCTCCTCTGGCCACGTTCCTCTCTGGCTCCTCAGCCTGAGCCTTTGCGGCCGGGATGCACACTGTCAGCTTTCCAGAAAGTTCACAGGGGCTGTGCTGGGAACATACAGAACTGCTGTGTAAAATGCCCCTCGGGTGCATGCATGGCGTACCTCGCACGTAAAACTGAGCTCCTGGGAAGTGTTTCTCAGCCTGGGCTTCCTCACTGCAGACGGTTTGAAAGACTTCATGTGCATAGCTACGGAGCCTTTGTTTAGGTGACTGTCACCTGAAAACAGACTCTCTGCAGGGCTGTGGCACAGTTCTAACAAGTGCTCTACAAAACTGAAGACTGTGCCAGAAGGCAGCTGACAGCATCTCGGGCACATGTAGAAAATAAAAATAGAGAAGACTAGTGCACACTGTGAAATGTGGACAGAATTTGTTAGATTTTTCTGGATGTTAACCAGCAGTAAGATAGCTACAGAAATCTCTTCCTTTTCTTCCTCACTGCCAAGGTAAGTACCTTACAGCCACTGATCCTGGTGGCTCACTGTGCGCTGTTTGTTCCTTACAATCCATGATCACCCTCAGAATCTCTTGGCTAAATAGCTTCTCGATGCCAGTATTAATACAGTATTAGTGCTATACTGCTTGCAGCTTACTACCAAGTTTTTTGGTTCGGAAGCAACTCAGTCTTTATGCTGAATAGTTTAGCAGTGTAAATTCTGTATTTTAGTCATAGTTTAGGAAAAAGATTAAAGTAGCAAGAAATGTTTTCTTACACAGTGATCCTCTCCTTTACAGGCAGTTGAAGATACGTGTGTACTAGTTGTCAAGTTTGAGTTTGATGGCATTGAGGTAAGAATTTTGCTTTTTTTCTTTAAGTCAGAAGGTTTTTATCTTGCTCTGGAATAGGATAACCTTTCCAGGGACTTGTGACCTTGCTATATTACAAGGTTATTAGTACCTTACAGTGTATTTAGGAAACTAATCAAACAGCCTGACCACAACCTATCTCAGGAGAAGGCACTGCAGTAAAACGGCAGCCGATAGGAAAATAAGCCCCTAGGAAGCCTGGTGGGCACGGGAACATCAGGGACACCTCTTGCTAAGCCTGTGCTGCAGGCCAGGGTAGCCCACTGGAACAGCAGTTATGTCACAGGGATTGTGCAGCGTGGGAGTAGAGGCAGTGTCCTTGCCAACCCGTCTGAGCTCTGACAAACCAGCTTTCTGCAGGGGGACGGGGATAGTGTAGCTCACCGTATGGATCATGTGAGCAGACTAAATGTTTTGTTGCAAATCAAAAATGAAGTGGTCGTGAGACAAACTGGAAGATGAAAAGTGAAAGCCCCCATTTGACTCCTGCCCAGGTTTGTCAGCTGCAGGAATCCTTGTATCTTGACTGCATCTTACCCCGTGAGCGCAGACCTGCACGCTGTAGTACCTCAGCACGTTACTGCTCGGTGTCACTGTCGCCAAGACCTTCAGTGACCTTCTTGTGGCCTCTCTCTGGTACAGACATTCACAGAATAATTTTCTTGCCTCAGACTGTGCTGTAGACCAGATGCTTCAGCATCAAAAGGGCTTACTGCAGAAGGAAAATGCTCTCTCCTTTGCTGAAGAGTAGTTGAGGTGACTGAACTTGCATCTTAATTCTATGATTTATGTGCCCTTGTAATGGAAATTGGAAGTTTAGAGTAATCTTTTCACCATAAAAAACCCCTTCCTTTCCCTAGCTTAAAAAGGGGGGATACCGTGAAGGTGTTGTAAATAAAATATGGAACTTCTAGCAATTCTCTTGAGTTTTCTGGCAAGTAAATCTCTCGGGACATGTATCTGTAGTCACGTAGTTCTAAATACAAATATTAACCTCTCCTGTAGACTTGACTAGCTTTTTTCCCACTGGTGTGCTGTTTGCAAACAGTGCAGCGTTCTCATATCTCACCGTTGGCACTTTTTTCCCCTCTTAAGATGGATCTCATGTTTGCCGGACTGTCTCTGCAAACTGTTTCTGATAATCTTGATCTCAGAGGTGACTCGTGTCTGAGAAGCCTGGATACGAGATGTATGCAGAGCTGAATGGTAAGCACGTTTGCACTTCTTTAAAAAGAAAGTGTTACTGAACTTGGTGTAGAATGCACATGGCACAGCCCATCGGTTTCTGTGCAAGTTGCAGAAGCTGATCTCCTGTATACTTGAGATCTGAGGAGGTGGCGAGTGGGCTGAAATTGAAATGTTTCAAGGAGCTGGTGTGTTTAGATAGACCTGCATCTCATGTTTCTTTGATCAGGGTGTGTGCATTGTTCCAGTTCACCATACAAACTGCTTCAGACGAATAGGTAGAGCATTTGATAGAGAAGAATGTGTAGTAGTTCATAAAAACCATAAAGATATTTAAAATACCCGAAGCCTAACTTGCTCACTGTTTAACACAGACTGGTTTAATTGTTTCTGGCTGTTGAAAGAAACTTAGCTTTCAGAATCCTCTTGAAAGGCTTTATTAAAAATTGTAGTCTGTAAACTATGAAAAAGCTGCTGAGGGCACCAGTTACCTGGAGTGATACTGAATGTTACGTATAATCTGTAATTTTTAAGGAAATACAAAGCAAGTCATCCAAACTTGTTTTCATAGACTTGAACGAGGAACTGTGAGCTATTGATCCAGGATAGCATAAAACTGACTTGTGCCTGTTACTAGGAACTGCTGCACTTCAAATTTTTCTTAGAGGCTGTAGAGTTACTGATGAAACACTGCATCTAGAGCCAAATGAAGAGAACTTCCAGCTCACTCTTCGTGCAATTAAACCTGTGGGCAAAATGTGAGTAAGGGGATTGTTCGTGATCTTTAAACTTTTCAGAGGCACCTCATGCTGAAAAAACAAGAGCATTAGAAGTACTTCACCCTCGGATAGCTGTGCGAATTAGAGTTTTCAAACTAGAACCTGTTTTTTTAGTTTAGATTCACGGTCTGTCCATGGGGTGGATTCGGTGTATTTTTTAATGGGGGTAGAGTGGGGAGAAGAGGGGAGTGCCTACAAGAGAAGGTTCTGCATTGCTTATCAGGAACCTGACTAGAGGTGATAAAAAAGCCGAGTTAAGTATAAAATGTTGATATGTAAGGAATAAGAAAATACTGTTTGTGCATGTGGCTAGAGCAAGTGCTAGAGGAACGGTAGGATTTTTCTTAGGGGAAGTTGGAGTGAAGCAGTAGCTGTAGCAGTGCAGGCAAATTTCAGAGTAGCAGTATTTTGGGAAGAGGTGTGGTAATGATTCTTGTGCTCATCACTGCTAATGACCAACAATTTTGGCCTCATTTAATTGCAAAACTAACTGACTTGGAGGCTGAAGTGACTGAGTCTTCTACAGATTGTGAAGTTGGTGCTGTAAATTTGAAGGAATGTCCTTGGGTATTGAAGGACTACAGGCTAATGACACGTACCCATTCTAGGACATGGCATTTACTCCAACGTGCTGGGATTTCTTGGTGGGGTTTCCTGGGCAGTGCCAGTAGCAAGAACAGGTCAACTCTATCCAAATACTTGCGCTTCTGCTCTTGTGATCAAGTTCTTCTTGGTTTTTTTTTTTGTTTGTTTTGTTTTTTTTTTCAAAATGGTAAGAGCTAGCATTTATTTTAATTTGCATAAAGAAGTAACTCTGCTAGAGGTAGTTCTTTATGTAAGATTTCCATCGGCAACAGTCAATCCTACCCTGAACTACATGGCAGAGTTCTAAGTGGACGGTTAGTTACTGGCTTTTCTTATACGGGGCATGGCCAAATCCTTTATTGCTGAAACAACCTGAAGAGAGCAATTCTTAATTTACCAATATGGGACACTGGGTGTGTAAACATTGAATTCAGAAGCCTTTAAACGTTCTTCTAACCTAAACTGATGCTAAGCACAATTGTTTTAACATCCTAGGGGAACCCATGAAACAGATAGCGTGTAATGCCAATCCTCCCCCCGCCAGGCCTCAGCAGAACTCTGCAGGCAAGGTATCAGTCTCAATGCGAGCAGTAGTGGTAGAGGAGTTCAAACGTGGTAAAGTTCTTCCCGTGCTTATTAACTGATTAAAAAGTGTAATTCTTGCTAGATGAAACCACATTATCTGAATCGGTACCTCAGCGCAATTCACAAGTGAAGCGCTCCTGTCAGCATAGCACTTTCTGCCATCAAAATACTTGGTCAGCAGCAGTTCAGTCCTTCAGTCAAGAGGACATCAGGGCAATTAAAATATGAAAAGGGAACATGTATCCTGAAAGACAATGCCTGAAGAGGCAGTTAATTTGAAGGAAGGAGAGGTTGGAAGAGATCTCCAGGCCCATCATACACTTACTGAACTCCATAGGAAGCAATAAGGGGCTGGCTGGTTGCTTTCTACTTTTCTTTGTTTCCAGGGAGGCTGTTGCAGAACCCAAATCATCCAAGTATTAGGAGATTTCTTCCAGTTTTCAGCTTAAATTTACTCAGGGCCAGGCCATACACATTTTTTCTGGTGCCCACACCTTCAAGCTTAGTAACTGTTCCCCCTAAAGGATACTTTCCTCTTCTGCATTTAAAGGAGTCACCCCACTCTTCTTCCACTTGCTTTTCTAGCCTAAGCATTACTAAACATAGTACAACACTCTATGAAAGAGAAAAAGAATGCAGAGAATCAGCATTTTGCTTTTTGACTAGAAAATGAAAATCTCTAACAGCAGATAAGTCTGAAGTAAAAATCAATCAAATCCGTTCCCCAGGTGGGGTGTGGGTTATGATATACCACATATCTGGAGTCGACTCCTGAATGAAATCATGCACTAAGGTTGTTCTGCAGAGGTTTAACTAGAGTCTTGGCAACTTCATTTGGGACATGAAAGGTGTTGGCACTAGAGTACCATGGGCAGTAAAGAAGACTGCTCTTGCAGTTCGATTCCAACGCTGCATCCTCAAACAGAACGGGGCTGCTACGTTGGAGGAGCATTGATGGAAATCTCACCCGCCATCCCGAATGACGCTCTGGCATTTCTTCACCGTCGCTTTCCTTGGACTTGGTAAATCTTTTGCAGAGTCTGAAGCAAACGCCCACAGCTTTTCCCTGTTTGTAACAGTGGATGTCTGAATTTTCACAGCCTTGTTTGTGGTGGGGCACCACTGGATTTGCCTTCAAAATGCGTCCTTGTACAAGAAGAGAAGAGGAAAATTACCAGTCATGGTGTTATACTATCCACAGGGCAATAGAGAGCGCTGCTTGTAGGAGGCTTTAATACAGTAAATAATCTTTAAATGTCTTGATTTTTTAAGTTTAATCACATGCTTAGAGTCTGACTGCTAACAGAATCTAACAAAAAGAAATAGGAAGATAGGTGGAGCTGTATTTGAAAAAGTGGGGTTTCTCTTTCCTCTCTGGAGGGTTTATTGCCCAGAGCAGGCTGACAGTCTCATCCTGCCAACTGCTCCCCGTGCTTGTACGCTCACTCTGGGAAACAAAGACAGCTGTTCAAGTTCTTCTGCAGGTACAATCTTTGTTTACTTTCTTGTTTGAATGAAATGAAAACGTACCTTTAGCAGTAAGTGCGGCATGATGCTCTTTACCTTGCACTCATTTTTCTCTAATAGATGTGTATTTTAGAAAATCTGAGTGTATTCTGTCCCAAACCAGGCACTGAAAATAAACCACTACTGTATCACCTCATTTTCAGTAACTTCTGATACATTCATTATCCCAGCGTTCCTTCCAAAATGTACCATGCTGCACGGCTGCATAAAATAAACTGGCACCACTTAACACTTTCCTTGGCCTGTAGCACACAGCACACATCTCAGGTGTTGGCTGTGTTCTTGGTAGGAGGCAGCAAAACGGAGGAAGCCAGGCTGCACACAGCAGGGCCGGGGGAATAGGGCTGGATCCTACACAGTTTGGGAGGAGGGGGAACGATGGGAACCTATTTGATTCTCAAAATCCAGGAGCGATGTTTCCCCAATACCTTGCTGCCCAGGCCAAACCAACATGTTTGAACACTGAGAGCAACGAAGAGAGCCCATTTCAGTATTTGAAACGTGTTGCTAGGCAACAGACTAGATCTGAAGGTCAGTAGGATGGGAAATACAGAAATGAAAGATGTAAACAGGAGGCAATAAGTTGGGGGCTTGCATACAGGATGGCAGCATTGCCTCTTGGCAGTGCTCCCCCTTCACAAACTGAAGAGAATTTGTCATTATTCAGCGCGTCGCCCTGATCCCGGCTGGACCGAGACCACCGAGAGTGTGCTCGGCGTCACCTCCTTGTTGAAGCAGTTCCCCGGGCACTGGTGACTCGAAGCTTTGCTCTGACCTGCTAGGCTTCCCCTTTTTAACTTAATAAAGACCATTAAACCATTACAGCCCACCTTTCCTTCCTGATACCAGCATGCCTGCACCCACAGAGCGTTCGTTCTCCACTAGTACGTGCTGAAACTCCTGCAGCTCTCTCTGGTAAGAGGCATCACTGAAGAATCTGTTTTCAGTGCCTCATGTCTTGCTGAGGTTCAGCCTGAAGTGCTCGTTCTCTTCTGCAGTGTGCTGAGCCCACCCCATTGACTTCATTTTTCGTGTTCACAGAGGCAGGTGACAGCTGCTCAGCCTTGAGTGAGACCAGCAGCTAATTTAGCGAGGTCTTGCATTCAGCATTTTCAACAAGGTGTGAGTGCATTTCCCAAAGGGAGTTCTGTCTTACCCCACCCTTGTTCAGCACGGGATAGAGGTGCTATGTAACGCACATGACTGCTGCTCCTGAGAGCACCTTGGCTGGATTTGCTTGAATTGCGTATTATGTCACTGCAGCCTTAAAACCAGGGTTAGCAAGAATGTCCCAATCCCCAGCCACAAGCTTTACAGAAATACTGATAACTGATAGAAATGAACAACATCTGGGCAGCGAGTCACGTCTTTTAAATCCTCACTTTCTCTCTTTCTTTGTTGCTTTATTTTGTTTTTTTTTTTTTTTTTTCTTTAATCACTTTAAGACTTGAATTACATCCAATCCAGTTTCTCATCTGCTGTGTCATTCTTGTGTTCTGCTATATAACAGAAGGGATAGGAAATGAATTAAAGATATTCTTA